TCCAGGCTGGTTCCAATCCAGTACCGAGGACATTAATATGGCCCATTGCTGTTACATGTTGTTTAGTGGCGTAAGAACCAATCGCATGCCTCCTTTCAAGAGACTACGGGCAACCCAATATGAAGTCAGCGGTAAAAGGCATAACGAAGGTAGACTGTTTCTCCCGACGCCTTGTTTGTTTTACAGGTGGTATGGCCAACCACCTGTTTTGATTGATTTTTGTAGTTACCGCAACTCCATGCACTGATGATCTTTAATCCACCGAAACCGAATATTTTTGGCCATGAGACACTGATGAGAAAAGACAATGGGAAATGTTTAACACCGCATACATTTGGATCAACGGTCAGGCACTCACGGATATTGAAAACTTTGTTGGTTCTAATTGTTTTAATTGCAAAACTAGGACACGTATCTGCAGGTATGGAAATAAGTGTTTGTTTTTTTGATATTATTTTGTCATCAATTTCTGACTAGCGATCGTCAGCTGTGAGTATTCAACTATCAATGACAGGCCTGACCTACGAGGGCAAGGTTTGCTGTCCTAAGAGGTAAATAAGGGGGTTAAAATCGATTCCGGCCGGCTCGAGCCGGTACTCGTTGTACCGCCTGTCCAGTCCGGTACAATCCAGTGCCACAGACGTGATCTGTGGCTATAGGGGAAAGCAATACCATTAGAATGTGCTTTCTTTTTTTCCTGCAGTATTGCAATTCTATGTTAAATGTATCTGTGTTAATAGAACGCTTTTGCAAACGTTGCCAGGCGACAGCTAACGAACAGGCAAAGCCAGAAACTGGAGTATGTTTTGGATATATAAGTGCACTTCGCGATTCAGTCTATGTTTACTTACTACATTGTTTTTCTACCTCAGAAAAAGATGAAATAAAATGGCATTTTCATAAAGCCTCCACAATCATTGATTCAATTGAGAAACGAATGGATGCAGTGCCTGCTTACAAAGATCTAATTCCTCTTCTTCAAACTATTAAGAGCCATCTTGCTGACTTTGAAAGGACTTCAAAAATCAACAAAGAATTTTTAAACAGATCCTTCTCAGTAAAGCAGGATCAACCTTCAAACAGAGAAGTCATCAACCGAAAGGAACCTTCGTCAGAGGTGGAAGGAATAAAAACTTTTAAGGGGCATAAAGTGATTCAGATAACCGACGATTTTGAAGGTATTGTTTGGAATTGTTTGATCTCATTGATACCTGTAAAATATGTTTGACTTGCAGCTTGCAACAAAACGGGCTGGCTTCATTTCCAGGCATTAAAAGATTGAAAACAGCGCTGTTCAATTTAACTTGCAGGTAGACTAGGAAGTTGGACAGTTCTTAACGCTATGGAAAAGTAGGTATTGAAGAAAAGAGACATTTTTCTTGCAGTCTTAATTCAGCAATGTCTATATACAGTATAAGCAATTTTAGCAGTGTCAGGTATTATAGTTCACCCCTGGAATATTTTGATCGGTTGAAATTCAAAGCTATGAGTTATTTTTTAATCTCATCCACTTTGCATGTCTTGCGAGCAGTCCCTGAAAGAAAGATAAATCGTGTTTGGACCAGACTGACGCAATCGGAAATTAAAATTATTCAGAAGCATGAAGCAGCTAGCAAGTCGCTCGTCAAGAGTCACTTGTGTTACTCTCGACAAAATATCTTGTGCCTCTTGAAACCAGAATGTTGGAGTTAAAAATAAGAAGTTGCCGAAACAACTTAAGCATCGTCTTTAACTACGAAAAACACTCCTACTGTGAGCGTGGTCGCCATATGTAGAGGCTGTGGCAGTGGTTGTAAACACGGTGGTTGTGATTGTGGTTGCGATAGCTGTTGTCGTAGTTGTTGTTGAGCAAATGGAATAATCAGTGAGGAAAAACGTCTGTACGGAGTGAAAAGTGGCGACGAAAATTTGCTCTCTTATTTTGGAAGATTTAATCAACCTACCGAGCAATTCATGCCCGTTCTATCTGTTTTCAGACTTTTAGACCTGATTCCCTCCAACACCACCACCGCGACAAGAATCTGTCGCCCAGGCCCCTATCATCGGACACGCCGCTCTCACAGGTCAGCGGAGAAGAAGTGTCTCATCATGGGTGACTCGATCAGCATTGGGTGCGGCGCCATATTTGTTGTTTACTAAAATTAATGAGTAATTATCTGGTTTGCAAAGTTTAAGATAATTATACACAAAAGGACAATATACTTGGAAATTTTTCCTATGAGCTACAATGGGCGACAAAAATGGTTGAGACACTTTCAAAAAATTAAATGACACTTAGAGATATTTAACATCTTAGTCTATTTCATATGCATCTAGCGATGATTCCCTAATACTCTCCGCTCCCCAATTCAATGTTGGGTAGGTACTGTGGTCTGGGATAAAATTTTGCAAGACGCTCAGAAATAGAATTTGACAGTGAAGTGTCTAAAGACTTCTGTCGCTTATTGCACTTTCCATTAAATGATTTGTTCAAAATAGAATTTAAGGATTAAAGATGGTTTGTTGTTTGCGCTAATCAGGTCGTACGTAGAGGACATAATTTCAGCTCAGACATAACGTTTAGATCTGATAACCGATAAACGTTTTTCACTACTCATATCCTTTTCTAAATTCGACTTATCCGAGTTAGGTCGAAGTTGAGGATTTCCGACGAAGCCATTGAACATGCAAGCGAAAGAGCAACCAGTGAAACCATATATTGTAAGGTACAAAATGTACGCCTATGCTAGTTCACCTTTATTTTTTCGCAAATTTTGAACCTTTACTGATGGATAGGAAATTTGCTGCAGGCATTTATCAGAATGGCTTTCGGAAAATCCTTCGATAACAAGTTTCTTTTGACACATTTACCCATCATTTTTAATTATACTCGCCCTACGAACTCGCTTATTCAGCAATACTACACACCAAAATTTTTCACTGAACATTTGCATTGCTTTCCTTGATTAGTTATCAGGATTATGTCGCTGAAATGCTTGAGGGAGACTGTGTTGTGCACCACTCCCCTTGGGCTGGAGATGGAGGAAGCCTGGATACGCGCTATATAATTCAGTGTCTACCACTGCTTCTATCCTCGAGCGTTTACGAACCCGTTCATTATGACGCCATCATTTTCAATGCTGGACTTCATGATGTTGACTGCTGCAATTTTTCAAAAGAGGTAAACGAGCCCGGAGGTGGCATCATAACTGTATTTCATAGTCCTCAATCAAGCCTTTCGACGGCCTCTTCAGGCAGTTTGGAGCATACACTGCATGAACGAATCAAGTGCACGTGTAAGCGCAATGTTGGTGAAAATTCATTGGCATAGACCTTGTACGAGCGCAGGTTCGTTAATGCCACCTGTGCATCTGTTTAGCGAGCTTACATTGCGTACGGTATGACCGCTGGAGAAGAATACGAGTGACAGAAGTAATTCATGTATAAATCCTTTCCTACTTGTAGTTGACACAGAAGAAATTTGTACCATCCCTGTGGCTGGTTCGTGAGGTTCGTGTTTGTAATTTTTTTTCTGCATGTTCGCTACAGGATTATGACAGATGGTAAGCGGGTAAAGGTTATTGATCTTTACAAGGTTATCAAGAATAGATGTGAGGAACTCGGTACCAGGTGCAGCATATTTCTGGACGACCAGCCAAATGTGGTAAGTTGGCAATGCATGAAGTCTTATCGGCATGATACTTTTGTGTGTAGGAAAAGAATTTCACCATTTGAAACGAAAGCGAAATCTATTCATATTAAAAAAAAAACCTAAAGCCGTACTAGCCTTATACCCGCTTTCAGCGATTCGTGCATAGGCGACACTTTTCGACACGCTATGTAATTAAAAGGCTGAAAGGCCGTTTAACTATGAAACTGGTAATTTTTCCGGTTATCAGTTAGCAGAGGAAATGACAAATAAATGATAATTACTGAAGAAGATCGTGGACTTTGCATGTTTCCCGATTTACGGGATAATTCAACTGATTTGAGTGTTGTCGATCGGCTCTCAATAGTGACTTCCTGTGTAATTGGGCTGCTACTTTCAATATTCGCAGTAAACGTTCAAAACACTCAGTTTATCTCTCACGGAATGACTTCTTGATACTTCTTATCTTAGTTTGATGCCAAATAAATCCATCTTTCTAGATTTTCATCACTAAAATTCGAGTTCAAGTACGTTGTGCTCACATTTTTGACGCAGGCCAGGTTACATAGCATGTCGTGAGATTGCATGTCCAAAGATGGTCGAAAGATGTTGCCTATGCACATAACACTGAAAGCGGGTTTAAAAAATACTCTAGGCACAGCAATTACAGCTAAAAGGGATGGTTGTTCTGAGTACTTCTAAGTTCAAAAATGTTATTGAAACTTGCACAGCTGCTTGAGATATTCAACATGTCATGTTATTATCTTCACAGCATCTCAAAGGAAACGGTTACTGGTCTCTAGCTAAGGAAATTGTTCGTGCATTCAACAAACTGTTGAAGCACGCAAAGACAAGAAAGCAAAGAGGTACCTAATTAGAACTATGAATTAAAGGAAAAGATCTGGAAACAGTGTTGTGCCGAAGTTTCTTGCGAAATTGCTAGTAATTATCATAGCTTAAGTTTTAATTCCAGCTCTCTGCATGAATAACAAAACTTGAAAACATCCACATTTTGACTTCGACAGAATTCAAGCAGGAAAAAGCTCCTCCTAGTTCACTTTACTGCCTGCCAAAAACTCACAAACACAAACAGCAAATAAGCAGCTTGACAGGTTGCCCTGGCAACACGACTTGCTGCCTTAACGAGTATTCCCATTCATTCATTGGCTGCTGCTTGTTAAAGGACGCAATGGATTGTGGGGACAGCTGGCACTGTTGCCCCAAGGGAACTGTCTGTGATCCTGGCTGCACCGGAAGAGGTTGCGTATGTCGCAAGGCACCTTGGGAATCAAAAGCGTCAAGAGCTACTTTTTCTATTTTGATGAAAACGTTGAATGAATTTTGGAACAAGATAGTTGCGAAATATCCTTCATTCGAGAAATCATCATCATAAAAGCGCTTGTGCTGCTAGATGGCGTACATGGAAGTTACATGGAAGTTTCGCCAGTACAGTGGTGAAAACGTAGTCACTTAAAATTAACAATCACAAAAGAAGTCGAGGCTGACGAAATGTATATGTCAGAAATAGGATTAGGATGACGAGATAAGTGGGAAGTCAGTTTAGTTTGCCAATTCTGCTCTGTGAACGCGAATCTTTATGTTTTGAAATCTTCCAATGTTACACGTAAGAAAATGTATGTGAAAAAAGAAAACCTTTGAAAAATATTTTCCAACTTTCCCACCGCAACAGCATTTCGTACTTCAACTTTAATAGTCTGAACTGGCAATCGTTCGAATTTCATAAGAGTCTTCCCAATCATTTCTGTCATCCATTTCGTCCCACGACCATATTTGATGATTGACATGGTCAGATCATGGGGTAGTTTATGTAAAGGGCTCATATAGTTGCCCCTATCTTGTAATGGAATCAGTGATGCAAATCACGGTGACCCATGACACATTTTCCCAAGTTCAATTTTAGATAGCGCAAAGCAAAATAAAATGAAAGGAATTAGAGGAAGTACTACAAATTTAAACAATACAGTACCAACAAATGAATATGGCTAAGACTTGAAAACATATAAAAGACAAAATTTTTGTTTCCAAAACTGCACTAGACCAAGTTCAGGCTAACGTGCGAGGCATGGAACTGATTTGTTGATCGAATAATAAGCTAAGAATGCTACATGATGGTAATTTTTGTATATAGTCCGGTTTTTTTTATCTTTTTTTCCGGTTAGGATCACGCATGACAAAGGCACGGATTTTACTCATAACCTAACTTTCTAAATTTGTAAAATGTAGTTTTGCACCCACCTGTAAACAAAGTTAATTGTTTCCCATTTTCCTCATATACATGTATAAAGGTGAACACGTAGAATAATCAATGAAAATGAGGAGGTGGTCTTGCTTTCCTCAGGAGCATTTTATAAATCACTTTTTGCATAAAAACGATCATTTTTTCGTTTGCTTTTGTCACTTTTCTACATCTGGATTGCCTCTTGCATGTCTGAAAATGTCTATAGGTTTTCAGGGCATAGCTCCTTTTAGACTCAACAAATATTAGGCCTTGTTTTCAAATCAGCGTGGTACAAGTACGGATACCTGAATATCTTAATATAACAAACCACGTTGATAACTTCACATCTGTTAATCGAGGTAGTACCGTGTAATTAATTATTAGCAATGATATGACGAAGTTAGGCAAAATATCATTTGTCAGCGGCAAGCAGGTTAATTATTTGGCGAGGCCGAAGACTGACGAAAATAATTGATCAGTGAGACACTGACAAATCACGCTATTTTGCGATAACCGAGTTTAATAATTGTTTTATCGTTCGATTACAAAGTTTGTATTCTTATTTAAATCACTCTCTGACGGTTCGGGGAAGCGATCGAGCGTTTTTGACATAAAAGCACGGTTACAGTTACGCATGAGCAGATATTATTTGCAGCAAAACACATTTAGACGGT